AGAGAGAGAGAGAGAGAGAGAGAGAGAGAGAGAGAGAGAGAGAGAGAGAGAGAGAGAGAGAAAGAGAAGAGAGAGAGAGGAGAGAGATGAGCGATACAAGTTTGGTTGTCACTTACCTGTGGAGTGTGCCGTGCAGTTCCACGAAGTGAGAGGTGGCCATAGCCGCGGAGCTCGACCACAGAGAACTAAGGAGGTTGAAAGAGAAGGCAGAGGAGGAGACCAAGGAGGGTGAAGGAAGCCATAGCCGAGGAGGTGAAGGGAGAGACAAACAAACAAACAAACAAAAAAAAAAAAAAAAAAAAAAAAAAAAAAGAGAGAGAGAGAGAGAAAGAAGACAGTCAGGGTGAAGAAGAAATAGGCGAGGTGAAGAGAAGGAAGGAGAAGGGTGGTGAGGAAGGAGAAGCCGGCCGCCATAGCCGACCGTGAGAGTTGACCAGGCGTTGACTGGGCGTTGACCGGGAGTTGACCGGAGGTGTTGACCGGAGGTGTTGACCGGGGTTGGCAGGAGTTGACCGGGGGTTGACTGCAGCATTGACCGAGCGTTGACCAAGGCGTTGACCAAGGCTGTTGACCACGATTTTGACCAAGTTGGAGCCGGTATAATCTCGCCAAGCCTTCAGCCTACCCCTCGCCCTATGGATGTGCACACACCCTGTGGTACTTGCAGAGTCAAGTCTGTCTGTCTCTTCTTTCTGCATTGATTCTCTTTTGTCTAGGTGTAGGAACTCTGTGGATGAACGATAGGGCCTCGTTGACCAAACCCCTGCCGGATTAAGTAGGGCTAAAGACTGTGTCTGACGACTCGACTGTCCCGGAGGACATGAACCCTCCCAAGGACCGGTACAGACCGACGGGCTGCTCGGTGTGGCACGGTAGGCCCGAAAAGTTGAGCTGTGGGCTGCACAACAGGCAGTCTAAGTGTTGAGAGACCTACTGATCGCGTCGTCCTATTTGCGACGTTAAATAATTCCTGACGAGTTACGGGGGATCTCCTTAAATGCCTCCTGATCAGCAACAGGTCTTGTAGTGACAGCCTTAGAGTAGGTCTAGGCTAGAGACCCTAGTTGACAGGATCCCTGTCCGGATTCTGTGAGTCTTTAGATTGAGTCAGTAAGTTTGTCAGTCAGGGGTTAGAGTCTAAGTGGTTAGGTTTGGAACCGTTAACCCGGTTGTGCACTAATCACCATGGTTGACACCCGTAGTGGGAAGAGCACTAGCCCCTATACCCAGGCTCAACAAGAGTAGATGGCCGCCTTAGTGAAAGAGAATAGGGAGAGGAAAGAGCTCCTAAAGCAAGCGAAATTGAAAGCAATCGCAGAGGAGCAGGCGGCAAAAATGAAGAAGTTGGAGGAGGAGATGGAGGAGAAGAAAAAGGCTGCCGAGGAAGAAGCGACAACAGAGGAAGCAGAAGAGAGAAGACGTAGGGAAGAAAAAGGGGAGAGTAGTGGCACGACGAATGAGGATGTAGAGATGGAGAAGAAGATCAGCGAGTGGATAGTTAATTTATCGTTGGGGGAAGATGAGGAGGCACAGTTGTATGTGCCACAGGAGGAGAAGGAGGCGTTTGCCAGGGCACTAGCAACGATTGAGGATCCCCTGGAACGATAGGAGACAGAGGAGGAGAAGAAGTTGGAGTGGAAGTTGAGAATGAAGAGGGAGAAGAAGAGGAGGGAGGAAGTTAATCGGTTGACCACAGAGGTGGAGAAGGTGAGAGCTTGTAGGCAAGAAGTGCAGGCGCAGGCAGATGTTTCTGCCAAAATGGACAAGATGCTGAGGTATCTGGAGGTATTGAGTGAGGCCTGGCTGGAGGAACGCCAAGCCAACTGGGGTCACGATGTCGCCCTGAATGCCATGCGGTCAGGGTTTCGAGAGTTTGCGCGCGACATGGTTACCCACGTTGGGGCGAAGTCAGGCGGTTGAGAGATAACGTGGGGAAGTTTTGTGAAGGCGCCATTAAGGGTGCCAAAGCAGTAGCCACCGTCGAGAGCGAGGCCAGACCCCGCAAGGACCCAGTTAAGCTTAAGTTCCCAAACGCGTACGGCGGGAAGCCTGAGGAGAATTTCGATAACTGGGAGGCTAGAGTAAACAGTTATGTTTACTTACAGCATATCGCACAGGACGATCAGGTCCTTGTAGCCTTCCAAGCCCTCAAGGAGGAACCGACTAGTTTCGCTAGGTCCCTTGCGCG